CAAGAATTGATAAAGCCTTATTTATTTTGCTTAGATTCTAGGACTCATTGCACTTAGTTCAGATGTCCTGTAGAGTTTTTGAGTTTCTTAAATTACATAGTTTACAGAATTACATTTCCTACAGGTCTTTGATGTATAGGAAATTTCTGCATCCTTACCTGGATTTAGAATTTCTCGTACTTTCATTGCCGATCAATTAATTTGATTACATTTAATTAATGAATCAGATATTTTTATGACAATTCTGCTTATATTATCCAGAAAGCTAATAATTTGCTAATTTCATGCATAGCTAAATAGACAGTGGAATCTCCACTGTTCTTATTCACAATACATAATTTCAGTTAAATGACTTCTGCCTATTCAGAGACTGAAATAAACAACCGAAGAGAAATCAGTCTTAGAGTGAGGTTTAGCTTGTTTAGCAAATCAGTGAATATATTATTTCAGATGGAAAGCTCAACCAATCTAATCAATGCCAGCTTTCAGTAAAGAAAAAGGATTTTAATATTATTGAGTGTATTTCGGCAGAAAGGTAAGAATCCCAGGCATATAAACTATGATTACATTCCAATAATAAAAAAACTGCACATTTTTAGGACTGAGATTTGAAAGCTGTTGTGAAGGATGTGCAAATAACAAAATATTGAATTGCTTCATCATCTTGAAATCTCATACATGATAAACTCTCAAAAACATTGAACCAATTTTGCAAGGTACTCTGTGGAAGTAGAGTCACACATTCCGCACTAAATCTGGCCTGTAAGTTTGAATGCCAGAATCGCGTAAAGTCAAATTCAAAAATGTCAATCTTGTACATTTTTACTGCTTCAGCGAAGTTCACACAATTCCTTACTTTAATACAATCCAATGTAGATTGGTCTCACATCAACACCAGTGATTTTCTTTCCAACTGATCATTCCTTTTGCAATAATTGCCTAGATGAAGCGCACTATTGGGAGTTACTGGGCTAACCTGTGGGATTTTACTTCTTAAGGGGCTCTTTGATTATTATTGTTGCAGGTTTTTCATTGTATTTGATGTCTGCTTCTGAATACCACTACTGTTCAGCAATTTTTTTGTGCATTGCACATCATCTCCACAGTAATATTGATGAGAATTGCATTTTACTGGCAACTTTCACATTTTTTCAATATGAAAATTTCTTTTTACATCTTTAAAGCAGTTTTAGAATTAGAAGAGATTGTTACTTTGAAGAAAAATACGAGATTGATAGTAGCTGAGAGGTTACTTTTTGTCATCCCAAGAGTATGAAGACTCGGACACACTTAGCTAAGTACATTTGAAAAACGTTTTCATCCATAATTCACCAGAGTCTGTAAGCATGGTTTGCAGTTTTCTCATAAGTTCCCAACATAATGCAAAGGATTAATTATATCTTTAGTCCAAGAATATCTACTGAGCATGTGCAAAAGGACATGGAGTGGGAAGCTGAGTCTGGAAAGCTTCAATAGCATCTCCTTTTACTATGTCTTGTAAATAGTTACATCAGTAAAACCTGTTAATATTCACACATAAGACTGTGGACCTTACATTGGCAGACAGTGATCAGACCCACAGAACCAGAGGCAAGCAGCAGTCAGAGCTCAAAATAACTGAAGGGGGTCTCAGAGGACGTAGAGACCAGCAAGCGATGAATGTCAAAAGCTCACCTAGGAACCAAACCACGGGGCAGCAAAGCCCACGGTAAAGCAGAACAAACCCGCCGAAGAGAACACAGCAAGTAACAAGTATCAAAAAAATAATTGAACACAGTAAGCAAAACATTACAAAAAATGGAATGTACTCAACAGCAATGGGAAAATAAATTAACTCTCAAAAAATCCACCAAAAGTAAGCAAGCAAAGAAACAGCTTGAAGTTAATGCTATGAATGAACCCCACCAGTGGAAGTCCAAATGAACTGGCCTTATAGAGGGTTGAGAGTGTGAGGAGAGACACCAGGTCGTAGCTGTAGCAGCAGCACAGGAAAGTTATCACATACTACCATCATTCACGGGAGTACCAACAGTAGAAGACATGGGGACAAGGTGAGCTCTTCCTGGGAGATGTGGCAAGTGTGCTCCACATTTTGACTTCCCTGGTGGCGCAGGCTGGCAAGACACATTCCAGTATGCAGATGTTATGGTGAAAAGCAAGAGAACTAGTTTTAACTTAGATACTGGGCACATGTATTGATTCATTTGGAGACTATGTTATGGTTAAGAAAAATAATTCTCGGACCATCCTTCTTTTAAGTTTGGACAGCATGAGGCATTAAAATCAGAGTGAAATTGCAGATGTGAACCATATTTCACTAAATTGGAAAATGGGTCACGTAGACCCACTGTGTTTCTTTACAAGTAGAGCTACATGTGTAGCTTTAAATATTCTTAAGTTAGCAGATGGTGGAGATTCCACTGATTTCTTCATTTTGAAGCAGTTGACTATACCAGCAGAACTGGACAGACGCCTGCTAAACAACTATTTACCCATTGCAATATTAACTGTTGATAACATTGTAAAATTCTGGGTAAGACATGGCTGCAAGTATAAAGCCTCACATCACTACTCAAATTTAGGTAGAACAGTGATTCTACTACTTGTGGAAAAGCAACCTGCTACGTACCTTTAAGAAGGTCTCCCAGTTAATCTGAATCTTTCACTGATCACACCATATCCCTATCCAAAATGGAATAACCATACAACAAAAGGATTAGGAAATACATTTATTTTGAGCTCTGACTGCTGCTTGCCTCTGGTTCTGTGGGCCTGATCGTTGTCTGCCATAATGTAGAAATGTGAGGTCTACAACATTATGAGGGAATATTAACAGGCTTTATTCATGTAGCTATTTACATGACATTGTAAAAGGAAATGCAGTTGAAGCCCTCCAGATTCCAGTTCCAGCTTTATGTCCTTTTGCACATGCTCAGTAGAGATTCTTGGACTAAACATATAATTAATAGTTCACATTACGTTTGGGAACTTGACAGAGGAAAAGAAGGAAGAACTAGATGATGATAGCTACAACCAGGATACTCAATGTGTCAATCATTTATGACTTTTACTTGTGCCTGTAAAATGGAATGTACATTGTTATGCTACAAAGAACGCAACAGTGATATGGCTGGGAATCATTTTGTCATTATGGTCACAAACCTGTGTGGGAGCAAATCACTGGAAGCATTGACAATGTTGATGCCCTGTGTTAGTTGATAACCCACCATGGTAGTTCCAGACAGGGTATACTGCTTTTAACTTGCATTCCAGGTCTTTGGAGCCTCGAAGAAGTATTTGCAGTGGACGTTATATCCCGACCGAAGTACCTTTCGGTAAAGATAGTTCTGAAGTGGCCATATTCTCTCTGATGGACTACAGATCAATCAAGAATTTGTGCAGAGCTGCAAAGAGATGCATTACAGCCTTCTCCTTAAATAACCCCAGGAGAGACAACTCTTTGAGTTGATTATTTCTTTTGATCGCCTCTTTCTTTCATAAGTCGTTGACCTGCCAAGATAAATTAAAGGTTGTGGGAGAGATTTTGGAATTAGCGAAGTTCCAGCATATTAATAGTTGCTGACAAACCTTAAATGTGAAGCCAACATCTCGTGTCTCTGGCTTGCTGCAGTGTTCCAGCGAAGCTCAACGCAAGCTGGAAGAACAACACCTAATTTTCCTCTTGGGGACCCTGCAGCCCTCCAGACTCAATTTCAAGTTCAATAATTTTAGGGCCTAAACTCTTCCATGTCCCAGCCCCCTACCCCACACACCAGGCCTTGTTACCACATAGCCTGCCATTACACACCACCTGTTGTTAGTCACTAACAGTCCCCATTAACAACTATTCACCCTCCCAGCCTGATTGTTAGCAACTCTTTGTCTGTCCAACTGCTCTTCTCTCTCTTTAGGCTCTATCCTTTTGTTTAGTCCCTACCCAATCCCCCTCCCTATTTTCTGCATATAAACTGACATTTTCCCAGCCACGATCAGTTCTGAGGAAGGGTCACTGGACCTAAAACGTTAACCCTGAATTTTTCTTCACAGATGTTGCCAGACCTGCTGAGCTTTTCCAGCAACTTCTGTTTTTGTTCCATTCCAAGTTGTACTTGTATCATCAAAATCTATGCAAACAGGTCATCCTCCAGTACCTTGTAAATGGGTGCATTTGGACAGCACCAATAACTATGATAGTTGTGTAAAGCAGCAAAATCATTCTGAATGATTTTGGTTCAAACTGTATATTTTGGGAAATTATATTTTTGAGGTCATCTAAGTATTTTCTGAAAGGGAAATGAGAAAGTAGAGCTCTTTTGTTTTGAAAGGATTCTCCATTCCCTTTGGAGTTCAATTCTATTTAAACTGACTGAATCAAGATAATTAAAATTAAGTTGAAATTTAAACTTCACTCAGACAGTTCATTGGTTCCCCATGGAGATGAATGCTAATAAAATGTCCAGTTATTTTTTCAATCAGAAATTAGTGATTCGGTTTTATGAGGAAAAGAAAGTGCCAGTTTATAGAACTGCTTCAGATAATTATCCTCTTTGCACTGAGATTAAGTCCAATGAGATTCTTATTAAAACATTTCTTTATTTAATAATTATTTCTCAAAGTATTCAATGGCTTGGTGCCAAACTATAAACAAAAAGAATTTTGAAAATTACAAAATGTAAAGATAGTGAATGTCTAAGAGAAATGTCTTACGTGGCTGGAGTAGAATACAATGCTTCAAGTGATCTAAAGTAAGGTGATATATGAGATCTTTACCCTCAGGTTACAAGATATGATGTGATGGCGATACCATGAGTATTTCTCTTGAAGGTTTACTGACACGTTGAATGTGAGGCATAACACAAGCAGCACCCATAGATTGTCTACCAGCAGCAGTCTCCACTGGCTACAGTAATAAGCTAATGACTCCTGTGAATATCGAAGATGATCTGTGATGTCAATATGTAAAGAGCATGCTATTAATTTTATAAAACAATTTCAAACAGAAGCAGAAAATGCTGGAAAAGCTCAGCTGGACTGATGACATCTGTGGAGAAAGAAATGGAGCCAATGTTTTGGATCAGATATGAGTCTTCTTCGGGACAAAAGCAAAGCCACCCTCCCCCCACCCCCACCCCACCCTAATGCCCCAGTGGAGTTGGATGCCTTCTGCTTACTTCCTTTGCCATGTGGCTGTGAGACCCGTGGTGATTGGCTTCATCGAGCATGGGTCCTTGCTGGGACTGCACAGTATGTATCTTTGCAGGAGAAGATGTTATCAATTGTGCCTGGATCACAGATGCTCCCATGTCAGAGGGGCTGAGGACAAAGAGGTTCTCTTAAGTGCAGTGATGAAGCTGGAGAGATTATGATCCAGAATTCTGTCCAGATGCTCACTGCACCTTTATTATTGAGAGGATTCTGTTCAGTTAGGCACTGTTTGTGCACTGAATTCTGCTCAGTGGAATGGGGTGAATATCTATATTTTGCTCAGGGAGTTGGGAAAAAATTTAATTCAGTGAGTGGTATTGTCTATTGCTGACTGTATATGGGAAGACCGAACATATTCCCTTCTGCTACGTGATCAAATGTTCAAAAGTAAATTTCTGCTCAGCTAAAATTGACTTGGTCACTGAATTTTTGTGAGTGTGCATGGCATGGTCTATGTTTTCTGTTCAGGAAATAGAGGTTTGTGCTTATTATAGAAAATTCCTTTTTGCTTTGTGTAATTTGTGCTATGCATTCTAGTCAGTGAGGCACTTCCTACAGGACAGAAGTGGCAAAAGTGTAATGTTAACAAGCGAAATGAAGAAAACCATTTTCACAAAGCAAAGACTTTACATGCTATTCAAATGCACAGCATGAGTCTTGGTGGAAGCAAGTTCAACAGAAACATTTTAAAAAGGAATTAGATTGTTCTTTTTCGGATAACAATGTGCACCGTATAGGAAGAAGCAGGAATGTAGCAGAAGGTGAGATGCTTATTTGGAGAGCTGTCACAGCCACAATGGGCCATATGGGTTCCTTGTGCATTGTAACAGTTCTGTGATTCTCTAGGACAGGATGGAATGCCCTCTGTTCATTTTGGTAAAAGGATATTTGATTCATGTCGTATTATGTGCTGTTTGCAGGTAAGATAAATGTGAGAATCATCAATTTGTGCCCTGGGTTTGGTATTTAAATACAACAAATAGGAGTGAGGAGATACATCAATTTCAATAAAGTGAAATAACAGGTAGATAAATGTGGGAATCATCAGTTTGTGCCCTGGGTTTGGTATTTAAATACAACAAATACGAGTGAGGAGATACATCAATTTCAATAAAGTGAAATAACAGGTAGAGGACTGGCTCTGGTATTCTGGTGAAAACTGGAGCTTCCTGTATTGATTGGTTTCCCAACATTTCAATGGTCCTAGGCTAGTGCTGATAAAACTGTTTCTTGTTCATATACAGGATTCACAAATTCAAATCATAAAGCAAATTTTCAACGCTACTTCAGTTTTCTATTGTTCTGAATTTGATCATATTATTATTACCTGTTTTAATGTGTTGTCATTGCACTACCTTTGAGAGTCTAAGCCCACTTTTAGAAAGCTGAAAAGCTTTTCAGATTTAAGAACTAAAATTCTGTTGGTACTGATTACCACTTGGCATTTTCAGCATCTGCTTTCATGCTGTGTTTGTCTGGCGAGCTCTGTGACTGCAGAATTGTGATTATTTTTGGGTGAGGTGACTTGGGGTGACTGAGAGGATGTGGTGGATATGTCATGTAAAGTCAATTGGCATCCCACTGTTAGTTATCTGTCACTTAACATGACATTTACATTTTCAGCTGCTGTAGATATGCTCCTTGCACGAGTATTTTGAAATCACTTTTTTTAAAATATATATAATAGCAGTTACGGGCTGATGCACTCACTGGTTTTGAGGTACGATGTATTTTGATGGTTGGTTTAAAGGGCAGATTAACGTTGGATCAAAGATCATGGACATAATTTTATCCTCATTTTGAAATTGCAAATTCTGTTGCCATTTTGAAGTCAGAGTTTTTTCTGATATTGAATGGTGTAAATGTTCTTCACCGACCAAGCTGCAATCTGTCATTGTACCCATCCAATTTTCATTTCATTGATTCCAGTGGAATCTTGACAGCCTTATTGTGGATAGGGGAAGGCTCTGTCCTATTTGACTACCCTGTGCCCACCAACCCCTGTCTCACTTTCCCAAATCCAGACCAGCACCATCACCTACATCATCATGGTCTACCAACCTGGCCTCAGCAAACTCCACACCATTCACTTTGTAATCTGATTCCATTAAATATTGACCAGCAGCTCTTAAAGGTAGGACTTTCTCCCAGATGGGGACTAAAGTGGCGAACCACTTAATGGCCTGTAGCCATTAAATCAATTCAGTGTTTCTTAACCACGTGGTTGTGGGCTTGCCTCTGAATTTTAAGCCGGTGGCAGGACGACAACCTCCACATAAAATTGCACCCAAGATTTTTAATATATTTCACACATCAGTATGATTTTAATATCGATATATTGGAAGGAAACAAGAATCATTTTCTCTTTAAAATTCATAGTTGGTAAAGCTTATATTAGGTGCAAACTAATTCATATTCTGTTACTTGTCATCTGTTAATTGTGACTTCAATCATCTCATTCCCCTCTCTTCTAACCTCCAGTGAAAACAAGCCCAGTTGTTTCATATTTCATCATAAAACAACTTGCTCATTCCAGCTATGAATCTAGTAAATTTCCTCTTCAGTGCATTTACATTGAAACGTAGAAGATAGGAGCAGAAAGAGGCCATTCAGCCCTATAAGCCTGCTCCACAATTCATCACAATCATGGCTGATTATCCAACTCCATAGCTTAATCCTGCTTTCTCCCCATAACCTTTGATCCCATTCACCCCAAGTGCTATATCTCGCCACCTCTTGAATACACTCAATGTTTTGGCATCAACTACTTCCTGTGGTAATGAATTCCACAGGTTCACCACTCTTTGGGTGAAGATATGTCTCCTCTTCTCCGTCCTAAATCGTCTATCCTGAATCCTCATACTGTGACCCCAGGTACTGGACACACCTACCATTGGGAACATCCTCCCTGCATCTACCCTGTTTAGTCCTGTTAGAATCTTATAAGTCTCTATGAGATCTCCCTTCATTCATCAGAACTCAAGCGAAAACAATCTTAACCTAGTCAACCTCTCTTCATACGTAAGTCCAGCCATCCCCGGAATCAGCCTGGTGAACCTTCGCTGCACTCTCTTGAGACCAAGAGCATCCTTCCTCAGAAAAGGAGACCAAAACTGCACACAATATTCTAGATGTGGCCTCACCAAGGTCCTGTATAACTGCGCCAACACATCCCCGCTCCTGGATCCGAAACCTCTCGCAATGAAGGCCAACATACCATTTGCCTTCTTTATCACCTGCATGCTTACCTTCAGCGACTGGTGCACAAGGACACCCAGGTCCCGCTGCACACTCCTCTCTCTGAATTTACAGCCATTCGGGTAATAATCTGCCTTCTTGTTTATGCTTCCAAAGTGAATAGCCTCACATTTATCCAAATTATACTGTGTCTGCCATTGATTTGCCCTCTCACCCAACCTGTCCAGATCATGCTGAAGGATCCCTGCATCCTCGTCACAATTCACCCTCCCACCCAACTTGGTATCATCTGCAAACTTTGAGATGATACGTTTTGTTCTCTCACCCAAATCATTAATATATATTGTGAATAGCTGGGGTCCCAGCACCGATCCCTGTGGCACCCCACTGGTTATTGCCTACCTATTTGAAAAGGACCCATTAATTCCTACTCTTTGTTTCCTCTCTGCCAACCAGTTTCCTATCCATTTCAATGCACTTCCCCCATTCCCATGCGCTTTAATCTTGCACAATGATCTCTTATGCAGGACTTTGTCAAACACTTTCTAAAAATCCAAACATACCACATTGACTGCCCCTCCCACCTTGTCAACACTACTGGTTATATCTTCATAGAAGTCCAATAGATTTGTCAAGCATGATTTCCTCTTCATAAATCCATGCTGATTCTGTCTGATCCTGCCACTGCTTTCTAAATGCTCTGATATAAAGTCCTTGATAATGGATGTGAGACTTTTCCCCACTAATGATGTTAGGCTTACTGGTCTATAATTCCCTGTTTTCTCTCTACCTCCTTTTTTGAGTATTGGAGTGACATCAGCTACCCTTCAATCTGCAGGGGGACTGTTCCAGAGTTGATAGAATCCTTGAAGATGACCACCATCCATCCACTATTTCTAGAGCCACTTCCTTAAGTACTCTGGGATGTAGATCAGGCCCTGGGGATTTATCCACCTTCAAACCCATCAATTTTCCCAGCACCATTTCTCTACTGAAATTGATCTCCCTCAATTCTTCCCTCTCACTAAATTTTGCATTCTCCAACATTTCTGGCATCTGATTTGTGTCCTGTTTTGTGAAGACAGAACCAAAGTATATATTCAGTTGCCCAGCCATTTTTTTTGTCCCCTATTATACATTCCCCCGTTTTTGTCTGTAGGGACCTATATTTGTCTTTACCAATCTCTTTCTTTTCACGTACCTGTAGAAACTCTTATAGCTGTCTTTATGTTATCTGCAAGCTTACTTTCTTACTATATTTTTCCCTTCTTAATCAATCCCTTGGTCCTTCTTTGCTGAATTCTAAACTGGTCCCAATCCTCAGACATATTATTTTTCTTGGCCAGTCTGTATGCTTCTTCCTTGGATTGGAAACTATCTTTAATTTCCTTTGTAAGACGTGGATTGGCCCTCTTACCCATTTTGTTCTTGTGCCAGACAGGAACAAACAGTTGTTGCAGTTCCCCCATGCGTTCCTTGAATGTTTGCCGTTGCCTATCCACTGTCATCCCTTTAAGTAACTCTCCCCGATCTATCAAGGCCAACTCATGCCTCAAATCTTCAGTAGTTTCCTTTATTAAGATTTAGCACCCTAGTCTCTGAATCAACTATCTCACTCTCCATCTTGTTAAAAAAAGTTCTACATTGTTATGGTTGCTCTTTCCCAAGGCGTCTTGCACAGCTCGATTGCCAAATGATTCCCTTTTC